GGGGGCTGACAGATTCCTCCACTCCAACCGGGCCGGACCGAACCCGCTCCGCACGGGGCTGCTCGCTCTGAAGTCCCCCTTCCTTCCTCCCCCCCGCCGGAGGCTGAGCGGCGGTGCTCGGAACCCGCGGCGGTCCCACAGCCGGAAGGCGGCACGGGGCTGCAGGGGGGTGTAGCACCGACACCCCTGGTGACAGCCGTGCTCTCTGAAATTCGGGTGTCCCCCCCGCAGGCTCCGGTTGCCCCGAGCAGCGCCCGCCCGGCACCCCAACCCGCTTCCTCGCTGCTCTCCGTCGGTTCTCCGCGTTCTGCCTGACGGGACCCCCGGTGCCGCCGCACGCCCTGAGTGCACCCGCTCCCTCCCGTCCCGGTTCGGTTGGGGGGATAAGGCGGTCCTACGGTTCCCCCCCTCCTCGCTGCCGCCTCCCACGCCGCGCTCAGCGGGGGCGGCAGCCGCGGGATCCGCCTCCGGAGCCTCCCACGCCGCGCCGCAGCCGGGGCCGCTGCTATTTCTCGGTACCGCCCGTGTGGGCGGCGCGCAGAGCGGCGCGGCGCGGCGGAGCGAACGCGCACGGCGCGGCCGCGGGACCCCCGAACACCCCCCGGGATTCCCGAGCCCCCCGGAACGGTCCGTCCATGCCCACGGGGCGCGCGTAGCGGCCGGACGGGGCTGCAGCCCGCGGTGAGCGAGCGGGGGGGGAGGGGGAGAAAGCGGGGGGTGGCGGGGGTTCGGGGGGTGCGCCGTGACATCGCTGTACCCGTGGGGTTGGGGGAGGGTCGGGGCAGCCCTGGATGTGTTTTGCTCCACGTGGGCTGGGGGCACGAGTGGGTCCGTGATGTGTGAATGGTGGGGGGGGGTTCACAGCTTTGCCGTGGGGCCACACTCGTGACCGTGTTGGGATCAGGGGAGATGTGGGTGTGGGGTCCAGCCTGGCCCAGGGACCACGCGTGGGCCTGAGTGCCCGGTGGGGTCTGCAGAGCCCTCTGGGCACCTCCAGGCCAAAGGGTGGGGGGGGGCTGGGCTTGCTGGGACATTGCTGTCCCCGTGGGGTTGGGAAGGACTGGGGCAGCCCTGGGTGTGTTCTGCCCTAAGCGGCGTCCCAGCGGTGGGGGCACGGGTGGAGCCGTGAGGTGTGGGATGGGAGCGGGGGGGGGGCTCCCAGTTCTCCCCAGTGGGGCCCCACTCGTGTCTGCGTTAGGGTCGGGGCAGCTGTGGGTGCGGCCTGGGTTGCACGTGTGGCTCTGGATGCTCGATGGAGCCCGAGTGCCCCCGGGCCAAAAGGTGTGTTTGGGGAGGGGCGCAGCTCAGACCCGGGGGTTGTGGGGGTGTCCGTCCGTCACGCTGTCTGTCTGTCCCACAGGCGCGCCATGGCTGTGCCTCGCACGCTGGGGGAGCTGCAGCTGTACCGGGTGCTGCAGCGTGCCAACCTGCTGGGCTACTACGAGACCTTCATCCAGCAAGGAGGCGACGACGTGCAGCAGCTGTGCGAGGCGGGCGAGGAGGAGTTCCTGGAGATCATGGCGCTGGTGGGCATGGCCACCAAACCGCTGCACGTCCGCCGCCTGCAGAAGGCACTGCGAGAGTGGGCGTCCAACCCGGGGCTCTTCAGCCAGCCGGTGCCGGCCGTGCCCGTCAGCAGCATCCCTCTCTTCAAGCTGTCCGACGGGAGCGGGCGCAAGTCGCTCAGCAACGGGCACGCCAGCCCCAGCGAGGCTGCGGGGAAAGGGGGGGGAAGTTCGGGGACGCCCCCCGCTCGCAGCCCCACGGAACCCCCGGAGAAGCTGTCGCCGTCGGGGGTGCCTCCGTGGCCGGGTAGGAGCACCCCCGAATCGGAGGGCGGTGGGGATGAGGAGCCGGGCGCTCCTCCCTTCTCCCCGGGGGGCACCGAGCAGCCGTCGGGCGGCGACGTGTTGGAGCCGGAGTTGGTGCGGACGGTGGCGGAGAGCGTCGAGCGGCTGCTGCAGAGCTGCCCCCGAGGGGGGGACGCGGAGCTGCGTGCTCTGCTGAAGCTCAATAAGAAGTTGGCCAAAGCCGTCGGGCACATCTTCCAGCTGGAAGACGGCGACCGGCAGAAGGAAGAGGAGATCCGGCGGCACAGCGCGATCTACGGCCGCGGTGATGCGCGGCGCCGGGAGGGCAAACAGCTGACGTTGCACGAGGTGGGGGTCGGGGTGGGGGTGCCCCACAGGGAATGGGGGGGACGTGCCGGGCTGGGGGCTCGCTGTGCCCCCCTCGGTGCCGCTCACGGCTCTGTGCCCGCAGCTCATCATCAACGAGGCGGCTGCGCAGTTTTGCCTGCGGGACAATTCGCTGCTGCTGCGGCGCGTTGAGCTCTTCTCGCTGTCGCGACAGGTCGCGAGGGAGAGCACCTACCTGTCCTCGCTCAAGGTGTCCAGGTGAGCGCCGGGGTCCCCCAGCATCGCCTCCTTCCCCTCCCCCGCAGCCCACACGTGGGATTCCCCCTATGGGAGCTGCCCCACCACCGCCACCTTCACCGCCGGCAATTCCGGGCGGGGGTGGGGGCCGCCAGTTCCCCTTTCCATTGCTGAGGCAGTTTGGTGCCTCATTGTGCGGGTTTGGGGGGCGGAGGGAGGCACAGCATAGAGGATGCTGCTGGAGATCGAGGGGGAACCCCCCATACTGAATCCCCCCATCCTGAGTTCTCCCCAGTCCCGAGCTCCCTTCCCCTCCCTCTACTGGCGCTGTTCTGCTCCCTGTGCCCCCCCCGCTTTGGTTCCATCTGTGCCACAACCCGCTGCGCCCCACAGCACCGCCCCGCAGCGTAGGGGGGGAACCGTGCGGTGCTGCCCCCGCACTGACGCAGCCCTTTGTGCTCCCACCCGCACAGGGCGCAGCCCGAGGACGGCGGGGCCAGCGCGGCCAAGCGGCTCAAACAGGAGGTGGGTGCAGGGCTGTATGCGGAGGGGGAGGGGGGATCCGTGCACCGGGGGTGCACACGCGTGTGCGTGCATGCACAGCTGTGAGCGTGGGCAGCGGTCGCCCACACGTAGGTGTGACGGCTCGGTGCGCTCGGGGCTGTATGCGGGAGGTGGGGGGGGCCCGGCGCTCACCCGTGTGCTCCGTGCAGGTGGGGGAGCAGAGCCGCCCCGACCCCCCCCCGCTGGGATCGGACCTCCACGCACCCCCATACCGAGTCGGCAGTGAGGAGGATGCGGGGGGAGCGGCCGGAGAGAGCCTGGACGGCCACGCGCAGGGTGAGTGGGGGGCAGTGTGGGGCAGATGGCGGCCCTCCCCCCTCCCTCCCCGAGCCCCCCGGGGTGACCCTTTCCCTCTCTTCGCAGCGGCGGGGCTCTGTCCCCGGCTGACCCCCCCGCCCGGCGCTGCCCCCGATGCGCCCCTCGCGCTCCCCCCGCACGGGCTTTGGAGCCGGCACATTCTGCAGCAGACGCTGATGGATGAGGGGCTGCGCCTGGCGCGATTGGTCTCCCACGAACGCGTGGGGCAGCTCAGCCCCTGCCTGCCTGGGAAACCCCCAGGTGAGCCCCCCCCTACCCCCCATCCCAGCCCCAGGGGAGCCCTCACGTGAGCCCCCCTCCAGGTGTGCCCCATCCTGCCCCCCCCCTCCCCCCCCCGTCCCTTGCGAGCCCCCCCCGGCCTCATGGAGCCCGCGGGGGCTGCTGGAGCTGCCTCCCTCCGGCACTCACTGGGCTCTGACCCTTCTCTCTCCGCAGAGTTCGAGGACGGATTGGCAGAGCGCGGACCCCCGGCCCCCCCAGATCCTCCCCGCGGCACCATCAAGGTGGAGCAGGAAAACAGCCGGCAGTGAAGCCCCGCGCCCCTCACCTTTCCCCCTCTCCCCCCCCACGACTAACGAAGCAATAACGGGCGGAGAGCCGGGGGGCCAGCAGCAGTGGGGCAATGGGTGCCGGATGGGGGGGCTCCACTACTGCCCCCCACATCCCACCCCCCCGCACGGTTACCTCAGCCGCAGCGGGCACCCCCATCCCGCAGCAGCAATATTCCCCCCTCCATCCATGTTTTGAGCACGGGACCCCCCCCCCATGGACTGAAGCTCGATGTGCAGAGCCCCCCCTCCGCCCCCCCAAGGCCATTCATCGCCTCGTGCAGCCGCCCACACCATTGGTGCTGGCACGCAGCCCC